GTCTTATGCGCGATTTTGCCGAGCTGTTATTTTTCTAGTTGTACATTGCAGAATGTACAGCTTCTTATATCCGAGCCTTACGAAATGCGAACATTATTTCGACGATTATCATTGCAATATTGTGCGGATTGTGTCCCGAACGGCAGTCGCGTGATTCGACGTTCAAATCGTCAAGGCAATATTTCCCGACATACATTTGCTACGATTTCACGAATTATCGATCGCTATTGTCTGCCGACGGTCGTTACAGCGTACGTAGAAAATGATAGGGAAAATTATTTAATGTGTTCAGACACGAGACCCGTTTTAATATCTTTCAGATGAACAGATAGACATGAGTGGCTAATATTATGTAAACGATGCGCATTGTTGTGCGTTGCTGAGAAATGTATTATCCAATAAAGCCGCACGAAATATATGTCAAGTGCAAACACGGCGGACGCACACGCAACGTCGTTGCGTGTACGTCCGTGCAAGAATGCAATCGATAGAGCGTGAAAAATCTGATGCAACGCACGAGCACTTCTTGAATCTAACGTGCACACATACGCAATAACCAGTATACGTATTTCATAATCCACGAAAATAGTTCTGATTCAATTTGTCCCGTAAATTAACGAAGATAACGCTTATTGTTGTTGTTATTATCATTATTACTTTTTTTAATTTACTCATGCATGCGTATTTGTATATAGATTCATGCATGTGCTAACAGATATTTCAGATAATTATGTGAACTTTATTTAAATTTTAAAACACATATTAACCATTTTGACAATAACCAATTAATTTATCACATCTATCATGCTCACTTTTTATATTTCGAATTAAAAACAATGCTATAAAATTAGCTATCGTTTCTACGTTCATTGCAACATGTCTGGAATGTCTCTTTAAGGCTCGCAAAGTATTCATTGCGGCGTATTTACAGCTCCTAGGTTCGTAGTAAGCATCAATAAATAACCCGCCCATCTCTTTCGCGTACGGCGACTCGCGAGCGCGTGCTATAATGAGCACTCTAGTATCCTACATGTATGTATTTAGAAATACTTTGGAAATCTAAAGAACGTAAATTATCATTAGTCGCGTATTAGTCACGTTACGTGGGAAGATTGCGGGGCATTCTGCACGTGCACAGAAAAACCGCTCGTATATTTATATTACAGTCTATTGCTCACACTCACATAAAGAAACAATTAATGCTATATTTTAAACACGCTCGATATAACAGCTGTTATAATAAAACTTGGTTGATAAGCTCAAGACATATCAAATTATTTTGAATATATGAGACAAAAATCTCATTTGTTCTAGTTTCATCTATTGACCATTGATACTAAAAAGTGTAAATAAATAAACAGTAAATCTAAAATATACTATATACTAGGTATATAATATATTTTAGTAAGTTCTGACTTTTCTGGCCGGGGCAATGCGAGTACGACCGTCTGATCATAGAAACGCATTTTACCGGCCATGCAGAATCGTTTCTTGATAGTCGCTCGTTTTCAAATGCTCGCTCCACGCGGACGCGTCCCCGCTAGACAAATACTGGGTAAAAACGAAACTACTCGGAGTCGTTACAGTTATGGTGCGTTAAATTCGGCGTTGCACAATGTGCGGCAACAGACTGGCCGCGAAAAAACCGTGCACCGATATCTGCCGTTTGCGTGTGGTGAAAATTGGGAGATAGCATATATTTATTGTGTGCCACGTCGATGCAATAAATATCACAAAAAAATAAAAAAAAACAGCTATAGTGGCAGCACCGAGAAATCAATATAAATACGAACTGCAAACAATCCGTTGAATGTCGTTACTGTGAAAAAGATTATAAACACGAAAGCAGTTTGAGAAGACACATACGTCTCGAACACAAAAGTCCCGAACGCCATGAGTGTCCTAAAAGTGTCCTAATACATACCAGAAAAGATGCATTATCAGATCGCATGCGATTATATTGTTTTAGAGTGTTCCACTAACATTGTTATAATTATGTTTAAATATTGTTTTAGAGTGGATCCGACAATGCATCTTTTATATATCTATATATAAGGCACTTTGGGGCATTTGTGACGTTCGGGCCTTTCGTGTTCGAGATTTTCATTCCTATTTTTTAATAAATAGACTTATGTATCTTCAACAAATTATATTGGGTCCCTATTATAGAGCTCCTTACAACGAAAATATGACTTGACAAGTTGAACTTCAACGGTGAACGAATCGCAATCTTGTCATTATATTTTAAAAGACAGTACTTGTGGCAGGCCGACCGTAAATATCGATCGTCGGAGCGTTCCTTAATTGAAAATGAAGCCTTGAAGATTGACGTGCGCGGTCATTGCGCGCAGTTACCGCGGCAGAATATAATAATAACGCCTGGAAGGAGTGAAACGCGGATCTTGGGCCTTTAGAAATTCGCCACGACGTGAACCCGACAGCTACTCGATAAATGGCGATGCAGGCGAGGCTGCAACGACGACGCTCGCCCGATAATCGATTGAACATTTGTTCGGCAGACTGGAAGTGCCCGATACTCGGAGGAGAGGCAAAAGTGGCGCGCGAGCGAGTGAACGACGTTTCCTCGTCACGGAAGCGGAAAGTGGCACCGATTTGTACGGACCGACAAGTACATCGTCTTCGCGACGAACGAGACAGAAATCGGCGTCGCGCTAGACATCTTCGCCTTGAAGGCTTTCCCCGCGACTTTGCCCGTCCCATCCTCGCTCGAGATTAATGTTTTACATCTTTAAACGTGGAACGTTTTGTGCGAAGTGAAGATTTCATAAATACTGATTACTGCATTATCACGCCCGCCGCAAGTATAACGCTTTTGCATGTGCAGTATAGCGTATCTTTTTTGCCGAGGATAATATAGCGATGCTATGAATGTTTGGCTTATATAATCTAAGACACACTACTTTCCTTTAAGTTAATACATGTTAAGTGACGATTATTTTAGATAGTAACCGTCTTATTATAAATTTTATTTATTTCAAAGATATAATATATTTTCTATAAATACTTTATAGAAAAATAAATCGCGGTTATTAAATACCTATAGGTACATGAAAAAAGGCGTTGTGTATTAACAGCATTAGATCTAATAGAAAATAATTTTGTTAATTTAATACGTCATGTTCTTGTTTTAATAAAACAAGTATTTGGTTTAAATACTGTTATTAAATTAACAAGATTATTTTTAATTAGATCTAATGCTGTTAAGACAACATTATTTTTTTGTATGTGTAGTAATATTTACATTAGAGAGAAATAATAATTGCATAAAATCGTTGTATTTGTATACAAAATATTCTTTTAATCGCTGAACTATTTTTATCTCATGTGGAATCGCAGATGGTTCTATTTTATGACAAATCTAGCTGTGTATCGACGTTCTCCGTGCGCTTTCAAATCTCTAGCTGTCAAATACGTGGCTCCAGTTCTAGAATAAATAAGCAAGCACTCTCAACGGATCTCTAACAGATCTTTATCTTCGCACGGATATATGATACATCACGAATCTCATGCAATCAGTGTGCCGCGATGCCGTAATCGTAATAAATCTAGCACCACTTTCCTTAGACAGAAAATCCTACCGGTTTTACGAGAGGAATTGTGGCGAACGACGCCGCAGTTTCTGTAATTTCCGCCATAAGCACCACGCTTCTTGCACATAGGTGCATAAATAAAATCGATCATATTCTCATGAGGTTCGATCGATTTTATCCCACGCGGATATTCTATCTTATTCATTTCGACATATTTTCACTCGGGAACGATTAGCGAAATCGTGCGTGAAAATACGTTCGTCTAGCGACTGTTCGTGACACGTTCATTTGCGATTATCGGACGAATGTGCTCGTGAGCAAAGAAATAATATAATACGGAGAATTCTCGGGCTAGTCGTATCCTTTAATAATCACTCGAATGCGAGTATTCACTAATTATTACCAATTATTACTAGTGTAAATAATACGGTCGATACGCTTTGTGTAATTTGCGTGGCTCTCACACGTGATTAAAACGAAACCGGTTCAGCAGCTGCGGATTGTACACGGATGTGCTCTAGATCGAAACTTTTAGGAATTTGATAAAAGAAGCCGTTTTCATGCCTTGAAGAATCTAAAAACCTGTTGTATTTTTCAAATGTAAAATATGAGATTAGAAATAAATATAGACATCCAATTGTTAAATATCTAAGACACGGATCATTTTTAGACAGCTGTATAATCGTTTGATTGACAAATCGTTGTAACTTTCATCATGAACAATATTTCACTTACTTTTGCTTTGAGCTGTTAGCGTTAATATTCGCACTCCTCTCATTAATGCGCGACTAGACGTAAATGTACTTTCGTTACACATTACACGACACAGTTTCTCCGTTCGCAAAGATCGGGTGAGAGTCTTACGTACAGTCGAACGTAAATGTGTTTGAATATTCCGTGCGCGTTCGAACGGTTGCAGGAAACTTTCGTAATTACTAATACACGAACGCGAATAATGGCGCCCAATAGTAATTATCGTTGTCGTGCGAGCGTCGTGCACCGTAGATTTCGTCGCGGATAAGAGCACCGCCCGTCGTGTTTATCATTTTATTGGCAAATTTCATTCCGAGACTCCTTTTAAGCAAGGTTACGAAAGGTTCCCGGTGCAACTTCGGTAATATTTACGCTCTATGCTGAGCTTAATCGCGTCTCGTAAAACTAATTAATGCGTCTCACTGTAATACAAATTTGCTGCAATAGACAAGTATTTAGTGGAAAATACACATAAATATAAAAAATATTTAGTGGAAAATACACATACATATACTCACCTTTAAATATGTATAATTAATTGTCACAGTTTCAATTTATTTTATGATGATGTATGTCATTTTATTGAGACACATGTTTTCTACAAAATAAAACTCGGGTTGTCCTCAAAATGTTTAAATATACATGCAATCATTGCATGGTCTATCTTCAAAACATTTTCTAACACGTATTGTTTTTTTATTTCTTCAATCAATTCATTTATTTATCTATTAGCAAATTAAAGCTAAATATGTATAAAATTTTCATAAAACAAACGCGGATTTATAGACAACGACTTTATTTTATTCCTATAGAGTATAATAGATTATGTAATATTTACATGCTCCTTGTACGAGTTATAAAAATTATCTAAGATCGACCATACTCATGCAAAAATTATGTAAGGGCGAGCAAATTAACCGGAATGTGTTTTTTTTTTTTTTTTTTGGCCACGGATCAATGAAGCTGTGGACTCGGCGTATTTTTCGCCACCGTGCGCGATTAAAACCGAGCGCGTGCGGAACTGATTGGGCCGAGAAGCCGGGCATTTAAATGCACCAATGTATCTTTAGCGTTTAAAGAACCATGACCGTATTGCACGGAAACGAAAGCGACGGCGGCACCCCGCCATTGATTCGCGGCCTCATACCGCTTCCTTATACTCTCTCTCTATCACATTTACATATAAATATAAAATATATTACTTATATTAAGCCGAGCAGTGTGTGTCGAACTGCCCGCACGGCGCGGAGCGTTAACAATTTGAACACGAAACGGGTAGATCGTAAAAGCGGTTCACCCAAAAACGGCTACCCACGCTTAATTAAATCGCCATCGCGGTCGTAATAAATAACTTGCCAGTCGGCACGAAACGTACCGCTGCCTCTTAATCATTTTCAGTGGATCCAGCGGCGCGCGCGCCGGACCCACCTCTATTTACCCGGTCTTGTTTCATAAGCGGATATCTCTCCCGACTGTAAGGCGCGCGAAGCGGATCGCTATTCAGTCCCGCTCGCTTTGTTCTAACATCGCACTGTCAGGAGTGCACGGTGCTCTCTGTGGCTGCTACTAATTATACACGCCTCAGCGTTACCGCCACGCGGAGGCGCGAATACCCGTAGTAATGCACCATAAAATACGACTTGTACTTTCGTAGACTTCATTATGCGGAACGTTCTCGTTGCTCGTATAATACGGGATTATACGTGATTGTCGAGACTAACAGTAAGTGGCGTAATATCAATTTCGATATGGCCGGTATTTAGCTACTAACTGTCGGTCTCGTTGGCATTCTTAAGGGTGCGTCTCGAGTGATCCTTAATCGAAGGAGATACAGAAACACGGGTCTCATTTACCGCGCTATTCCGTTGAACTTTCATCTTAAAATATTTCGCGCGCTATATGCCTTGGGGAAGAAGGGACGTGATGTTTTTAGAATTAAAAAAAATAAATCTCGTTATCGTATAATCGCACGTATTTCTCTATTTGTACATCGCGTTAATAGCTCTCTTTTACCCTGCGAACTTTGCGCAATCTAACAAAGTTCACGGGAAGTAGGCGTACTCCCACGCCGCCAATCGCGGAGGAGAGACTATTGTTAAAAGTAGAAAGAAGAAGAAAAGAGCTACTTTAGGCTCGTCCTTCCTTCAATGGACACGCACTAACGTAACGCTGGTCTATTAATCTACCACAGTGTCCAGTTAGAGTCTGCGAGCCGTGACGTACGTCCGAAACCTTGACCACCATTTTTTTTCACGTTGTCATCTTCTTGCAATCCCTCGATTACCGGACGCTTAGTAGTAGAAGTAGGTGAAGTAACCTGCAATAAATAAAGACTCATTTTCGAGATGGACATACTTGACAAACATACTTGATACTGAATGTTAAAGGACTCGTAATATAAATTGTACGCTGCAAATTTATAATAACGGTTATTCCGGTCCATCCAACTTTGTTGCGCTTGCATGCGGAAGCGCGAGTAGACGAAGCAAGGAAAATTAATTCCCGCATTTCTAATCGGCTATATACTTCCGGGACGCTCACGCCGGCAGATTCTTCATCGTCATTGAGAATCGCCGCGATAGAATCGCTTTCCCGATTTCCCTCGCCCAACCAAATTCTGATCTTTTCCTTTCTCTCTTCCGCATTTCCCCCCGGGTCCCTTTCATCCTCCTAACGCCACTATTCGACGACGATTTCTGTAAATCCTCGGATTCAACAGCGCGAGGTTCGTTCAACGGTCCGTGTGATTTCCATCTGCGATTCTACCGTCGAAAGTATCCCTCGGAGCGCTAACACTCGGGGACACCTGAACGTCGTTAATGAGTAGCGAGGGTGATACCACTTCAAAGCTGCTAATTACAGAACCCTCGTCACCTTGTCCCGCCCGTTGTGGAGGCGGGCAGAACTGACCTCATCCCCTTCGTCTTCTACCCTTTGATTAGTAAGTGCTCGCTTTTCCGGTCCCCTAGTGCTCTGTCGTTCCTCCCTCGCTTTCGCGCGTAGCACACGTGTGCTTTGGCAAGATCGTACGCATGGAGCGTCGATAATAAAGTCGACCGCGAAACGAATGGGGGATCCGAATGGAAGCTATTAGGGAACGAAAAGGATTCCGCCTCCGTTCCGATTGTAATCAATTTAAACGCGAGAACGCCCTAATGATGAACGGCAGCGCTCAAAAATAATTGTCGATAAATGACAGCCGACCAAGTTAGGCGTGAAAATGATTCGAGCGATCGAGGTGTGTATTTTGCGATCGCATCGTGTCCGCTATAATGCTTAGAAATTGCCGTCGGCTTTGAAGTGTTAGATCAATTTTACGTACATCAGATGCCAGATAGACGATTTCTAATCTTTGCAGCGTTGAAACCGAGCGGCATTGCTCTGCTTTAAGAATCATATCGACACAACCTACAGCTGGTTAGTCAAATGTACTGGAACGCTTTATACTGAGTCATTAAAAACTTCTTTCGGGCATCCCGTGCGGATGTCTTCCCGTCTAAATTAATGTGCCGTGAAAAAAAAGTATTTAACGAAGATATCGTTAAGTTACGAGAGTTCGTTTCCACCAGGGAATACCAACGACGAGTTTCGGGGAAAATTCGTTTTTCGCACCCTCCTCTCCTTTCAACCCCAGATAAATTTCCGTCAAGGACGTCCGGAGGGGTCAACAGTTTTTGCGTGTTGCGTAATTAAATGCGGATCGTCGGGTTTAATGACTATCAAGGGGAACGAATGGCCGTTTGACCTAGAACGGTGTGCCATCTTTATGCCGCTGTATTTCTTTAGCCGCATCAAGATTCAACGACGGACGGCTTGTTATCGGTATGAGATACGATCGTTCGTAATTGGCAAATTGCAGATGAAGATATTCACGCACTTTTTATCACGTGTATTTATCTCTCGCGAGATTTCGAAATAAAAGCTATTGCAAAAGTATTTATTCGACGGAATATATAGTCACGCTCGCGAGTTGCATCAATCGCGCATCCTCGGCTTTATCAACTCGATTAGCGCAAAAACGTGCTTCGGCGGCTCGGCGGTTTTATTTCTTGCCGGAGAATTAAATTACACTTTGCGCTTGTTATCTGTGCTAATGCGCTGGTTAATCTTCAGAATTGTCCCGATAAAGCAGCCGCGCTTCCCCGAGCTACGAACTCGGAGTTTTACTTTCGGACTTAACGTACCTCGTCTCCTCCAGCCCGTGTCCTCCATGACGTTAATCACGCCACGGTTGCCCGAGATTTACGTTTTCTCTCCCGTGTCGAGTTAACGCGCGCATTAACAAGTGCAAAACGTTATAAAGTGCGAGATGTACAGGCTTTCCCTCGATATCAGCGCGTGTTTCGCAGGGAGAATTTATTCGCCCGCCATTCACTTCTTTTGCGTCGTACGCGAGTTTTAATACCGTGACTGGTGCCTTTCTTCCCCGCTATCTTTTATAGAGTTATATAAAATGTGCGCGCACAGCGTTGCGGGATATTCCGTTTGCATTTTTTTTTTTTATTATAATTGCGCTTTTTCTCAATTGGGCTGGCACAACAAATATCTAAGACAAAAGATAATAAGGATATATATACTCGGGTACAAGCAATTTACGAATCTTTGTTTCTCGCCGAATCAACCCGACCGATCTTCGTCAACCCATTATTCGCTAACAGTAATGTACGTTGGGTTTTATGGGAACAAAACTTTATTGCGTCGAGCTAATATTATTGCGTCAACGCATTACCGTTCGCGATTACGCGTTCTTTCTCTACTGGTTTTTTTTATTACTTTTCGCAGACGCACAAATTATGCAACCGTAAATTCACACTCTTTCCGTCGATGACACTTGACATTCTTAGGTAGCACTGATCTTCCAAGAGACAGCAGGTAACGAAATAAAATCGCGATCCCCCGCCGTCGTTCTCTTTTCGAGAAAGACGTCGCAATATCATTCGACGCGAAGAGAAACGAAATTTTACGATTATTCTCATAACACCGAATTCGGCTCTTTTAATCGTTTTGTCACTCTCTAATAAATATTCCGTGACGCGGAATTCTCCAATACGTTGCATGAACGTCTTATGTAATTCCTCTCATCGCCAAGAAATACATACTTCATTTTTATGAGTGTCATATACTTTGATGACTTTCGCCTGTATTTGAAAAAAGATTTCGGATGGACCGTAACTCTCAGAAATGTGTACATAATCTTATTTGATATAAAAACACGCTTTTCGTACAATCGAGAGCGAGCAGGAACGGCGATTCGCGCGACTAAAAGGAAAAAAACTGATCGAACTTGATTCGGTGCGTGACCGGCTCGGTTCTGGTCAGAGGCCAAGGATCGAGAGAGCGTTGATCCTCGCTTCTCCGTCTCCGTCTCTCTTCCGGTATTCGCGTCGCTGACCAAAAAGGCAACCTTGTCGCCTTGACGACCTCGTAACACCTGTTACGCGCAGTGGAGTAACTTTAAGTAAGGTTACGCGTAAAACGAGTTTGCGAGTCGCCTTACGAGGCCGCGCAGCCTCGAAAATCGCTTTCACCGAACCGTCGCGTCGCGTCAAGGCTGAAGATTCCCCACGCTAAGGAACCGGTATATACAGCTGCAGTTCGTCTGCATTTCGCGGAAGGAGGAAGTACAAAGGTTCCATCTTCTCGATTAGCGATCTTCCCTGCTCTCGCTCTCTATTTCCTCTCTGTCTCTCTTTTTCTCATTACGTCTCGTTATGCCGCTTGATGAGTCTACCTGCACGCGGCCGAGCGCAGGTGCGAAGGACGGCGCGTGAAATGAAAGCCGAGCGTGTGCTCAAATTACCGGAAGAGACACGTTGCCCCTGCGTACACCACGTCGCGGAAATCAAGGGGATCCGATTACGCAAGGAAACCCGTTTCACGATTCTACAATACGTTCGGGTCCCTGAATCGATTTGCAGACGCAGGACCCGATCTCGCTTTCCGACTCTCGCTTCGTGCAAATGGGTGACCGGTAAGTGAGCTTGCTGGGTATCGCTAACAAGGTTAATAAGATAACGGCGAAATCTCTATTATATATCGAAAAAAAAAATGATTCGTGCTCACCGCCGTGTAATTACAGATAAAAAGGGGGCACGTTTATTGAACGTTCACCGCAACATTTTGCGGAGACCAATTATGGCGATACCACGCCATGGATATTAAACATATTACTTCTTTCTGTAGACTTACCTTATACAGTGCGAGAGATTACGATGCTTATCTGCTAGTGCATTCCTGTCACCAGACATGCGGTGCACGTTACTTAGTAACTAAAAGACCCGCGTACCACGTATTAGTATCGTCTCACTGTCACGGCTTGCGATCTCCAATTTAGGGGGAATCGCAAGTAAGACGAGCGAGACGTCGAATGTTTAAGTTTTATAGCATGCTCTCGTGATCGCAGCCATCCATTCGTAATGCCATCTCTCAACGTACAGCTTCCCGGGATGTACGTAATGAGAAGAGCTGATTGTCGTCCTCGACGTGAACGACAGAATACCATTAGCACACTCGCAAAACGACGTACCCGCCGAGATTCAAGGATCAAAAACGTCGGGCCGGTAAGACGAAGCCGACCTTCGCGGGAACGTAACAAACGAAGGTAATAGGGGAAAGAATTTTTGCGGTTTTCTACCAATTCTCAGAGCCGTGTGTATTCGACATCGTGGTCGGAGAATCGGGTGATTCTTTTAATAAACCAATTTTTTTACATAACGTGAGAGGAAATTGAAATTACAACGCTTGTGCGTACGTCAGATTTGCGACAATTATATGCTGAGGATTCTTCTTTTTATTAACTTACATATTTATATATTTATATAACGCTATTAACAATTATAAAGAGTGTCCGAATAGTCGCGCAACTTGCAATAAAGTCACGTTCGTCATTTTAATACACTGCTTTTAATTATAGCGTATCGAAATGCAATATTGCAAGTTTCAGCATTGCATTGAATTGTGCTCCATTAACATAAATATTAACGCTTTATATTTGACAATATCAACAAACCAGCAATGTCATCATGAATACGTGTGTAATAATAATTTTTTTGCTCGACTCTCGAAAATTTTGCATAATTGACAAACTCTTTACTTTAATATTATAGTATCACGTAAAACATATTTCTTTATCATGTGACGATATTGCTGTATTTAAAGTGTTAATATGCGTTTCAGAGAGTCTCGCGTGACTTTTCGAACATCTCACAAAACAATAAACGCTACAGTGCCGCACATGCACAGTGCGCATGAACATGCACCCTCGGTTAAAATTAAAATTCGGAGGTGAGAGAGGGAAGGTTGGGAAAATGTGTGTATCATAGACTATGTTATTTCATAAGTGACAACAATAAATAGTGTTTATACATAAATTGAGTGCAAAGGAACGAACGAGATATCGCGTGATTAAAAGATATTACTCTCCCTTTCTCTCTGTTTCTCCCTTTTCTACTTATTCTGTTATCCTCGACGACTCTTTGGGTTGTCTTACATGCAGAGGCTGGTCACGTAAAGGTTCGCCGACTCGTATTCCACCACCGAATTCTTTCAACCCATTACTCTATTTTGTTTTTTTTTTTTGTGAAAGATGCATCGAGATTTCCTTTGATTCTCAGATGTGGATGTACCTATTACCTGAGCCGGGTGGCACGAATCCGTATCCGCTCGCGCCCACGATGACGCCGCTGGTCTCACCTGTGTCTGGTGGCCCAGGTGGGAATAACACCGGACCTTCGAAAGAAGAAACATATGTTAAAGCGATATTCTTGTAATCCTTCTTTAAAGGCCGCGATTATTCTCACGATTATCGTCTCGGTGCACCAAAAATGCAAACTTTATTTTATTCCTGCATTTCCAGTCAGTAAATACGTCAAAACTTTTAGGGCAATCTTGAATCACGTAATAGAAAGAACATTTGATATGCTTGGGATGATCTATGCGGAAAGATTTTAGCCATTGTTTTGATAATACCATCGATCAACGATTTATAACTGAGTACCGTAGTAGAATGCTACTTATATAAATGTTTTCTATTGACTCTTAGTGAATCTATTGACCTCCAGTGATCTATATCGAGTTATACCGGTTAATACAGTGGTATAAGATCTATGGGATCGTTATCGACATCGTTTGACGAGATTGAATCGAGTTGATTGGATGCTCGCATCAGTTATAAAGATCATCATTGGCTTTCATGGTCATTGGCGAAGCAATGATGTGCGGTTGATCGCACATAGTAAACAGGATCATAAAATGTAACGTTAAAGAGTGAAGGACTTTTGATTAACTTTGTAAAAGAACAGAAGGGTTTTGCTCAATGTTATAGAAAATAAATTTGTTTTACAAACTATTACTTTTCGTAAATTATAAAGTTGTTCAGTATAAAATACATGCACTATAATTAAGACATTTATGTAATGCCATTCACACCGGTAATTATTGCAGCAACATATTTACATATACAATGTGTTAATTACATACTTCTTTTTATATTTATTCTTGAAATACAACTAACGGAAGTAGTACTGGTTTTATCAACACCTATAATCTAATAGAAGCTCAAATAAGACAAAAATTCTCCTAAAATTGTATTCGTTTATGCATATTATATTATTTAACAAACCGCAACTGCTAATAGCGCTACAGTGTTACGTGACATTAAAGGAAAGTTGCATGCACTTATCTACGAAGGAGTAGTGGAAATCCTTTCTAACACGAGGAAGTTGTTCGTGTGCCCGTATTATTAATCGGTCTACTGACACGATATTATGTGGACGCAGATATTATCTAGATTTATTAAGATAATTATCTCTTGACGATCGTAGCATTCGAATAACAAACTCCAGTTTCGCCTAGTAGTCTTCTCCTATTATTCGCGATGAAGCAGTAACTGAATGCGCGAGGCGAGCACGCCTCCAGTGAGTAATCGCTATGAATATTCAGCAGTAGAAAAAACGAACGATTTGTTTGACTGATGTAGGCTTCCGATGTTATCCCGATAATGACTTTCTAAGCAGTAATCTTGATGTAATGAAAATTATGGAAGCAGAAGATAAATTGGAAACGTTAATATCGTTTAATATCGCAATATGAATTGTTTCGAAATTATTATCAGTATTAAGTACGAAAACTACAACTCGATGAACGAGATAAGTAAAAAAGTATGTATCATAAAACAGAGATAATAAATATATTCTCTTAGATCTTGTAACCAGATTAGTTAGTTTTTGCGTTGTCGAACTAAATGTGATTTATTTTGCTACTTGCTCAGCATCCCGTCAGCCACATGATATATGACGCATTATTTATTGTACGTGAATTTGAACTTGACACTTATTCCAATGCCGATTATTATGCGCATACTAACGCTCGAACAGGTTGTAAGGATCGCGTGTCCTGTCCGTGTCCGTGCACACAAGCCATTTAAATAATACAGTTCGAACAACCTGAGAAGTAACAGTATTATAATATCCCGGACAATTACGTTAAATTCTTTTATGTTTATAATTATAAAACGATCATAAAATGAGCTTCAGAATCGATAAAATCATATTCCTAAGTTTTTTTTCAATTGTATATAAAATCTACTTTTATAAAAATATTATGATTTTAATCCAAGAGGTGATTATGATTGAAAGGAACGCATTGATCACCGAGAAATTACGTACGTTCAGAAATTTTATCATAATTCACGAAGTTCACGGAACATATAAAAGCAAATGGCTTGCCTTTCCTTCCGTTACGCGTGCACGTGTTCAGGTAAATCCCTAGTTAGCCTCGTTGTTCCGGTAAAAGTTCCGTACTATCTGAGCAAGATAGGTTCTGCATCAATAACAAGACATTACCTACAATGATTCGATTCAGGCTCGTTCCTCTCGATCGCAATCAGACGTTTGATTATACGACAGCGCACTTCAAAGAGCATTCCTTTTATATCTTGGATCTTTATGGCTGAGCGGACACAAACCATCATAAAAACGATTGTTGTATTGTCAATCACGCACGGAATGTTACATAAATAGACGCGGTACAGATAATAATGAGCCACAGCTATTAATCTTCAAAAATATTTCCGTAGAACCACGTATTTATCTCATCTACTGAATATCTGAACAGAAATTACTAAAACTGTTGTAAATGTTTAGTTTATTGTAAAATTGTGCGCTTTTCTATCGTATTAAGGTTGCACAGTGATACGTGCGGAACAATAATTGTCGCAATTATACTCTGTAACATCTCTCAATAACATCGTAAGCGAGACTTCGTTTCCGAGAAATCTATCACATTGAGGAAAAACTTTCGAACGATTGAGGAATTCTAGCGAGCGGTGTTAGAATGCCTACCATTATTTGCGGATGGAACGAGGCCGTTTCTTCGCGGCGTATGCAAATAGAAGAAAACATAAGAACACAAATTATCGTAATTGCATGATGCTCAGCTTCCTGATAACGTTGGAGGATATACAAGCGCGAACGAACACTTCCGAAGCATACCATAAATCTCAATGAGTACTTTGAGTCATCTAATAATAGCGTATGGACAAAAAGAGGAAAGCATAATTGTTTTGGTAGTGAGCAATCGCGCACGGTAATGTCGGTAATAATATACCGACGAATCATCTTCGAATTATGCAAATTCAAGTAGCCGCAGTTATAAAAGTGTGCAAGAGTCATCACAGAAAATCTTATAAGCGATGCCAGAAATTTATACTTGATTAATTTACAATTTTATAAAATGTTGCAATACATATCAACGATGTAAAATATATCCGGCTATAATTACAAGGTAAGTATTATACTGTAATTCTGTTAATCTATACATTGAAGCGTATAATCGAAGAAGCTGTCTGTTATTCTTTTAACGATACATTTATATAATCTTAGTTGTTGTGTAAAACAACTTACCTCTATTTGATCTTGGATCCCTCATTATTGCGGCCGAAATGCCTCCGTAAGGACCAAATCCTCTGAAAAAATGCCTGAAATCCTGTGCCGAGACGCTCGCCAGGACGGCCATGACAAATGCGACTAGAACAATCTGCAATTAAGAATTCGTAAATTTGTAATTCTCACGAAAGCGTTTTATTCGTTCGAATTTGAAGAGCGCGTGTCTCGATATTTTTAATAAGCGACATATATGTGATAAACTTAGGATCAGATATTTCCTTTGCATTTTATATCAAATTAGAGAAGTTTCGTAAGTGAGATAGTAAATCTATAATGACAATAAAACAGTTTAATGTGAAAACTGAATTAAGTTCGTGGAAACATTTAAGGGGGAAATAAGAACAATAACATCTCATTTTACATTGTTGTGAAAATTGTTGTGTAAAAGAAGCATAACGTAAGAGGAAAAGTAACCCTAACTCGGATGTTCAATCTTATATTTTTAAACTGCATTACGAAATTATATGTAGCAACCGCTTCTTGTGAATCGCAAATTAGACGCGATATCATGCTTAACTAAGAGAGAATCTTTCTCAATGAGCATTCACACGTCCAGTATGTTGCAGTGATTTACATAGATACGGAAAGATAGACATTAAGGAGCCAAGGACGTTATTTTTCGCTCGTTGTATAAACCGGTTACTAATTAGAACAAAATAAGAATGCTTTCGCGTTCAAGTCAGTCGTATTCTCACGGAGCAACAGCTGCTTTGACGAAACTTGCTCTTTGTAGCGCAAGTGAGTGTTCAAATCATCGCGAGAGTAATTTCGACCGTTACAGCTGTCCGAAAAACGACCGTTATTTTATCAGCGTATCCTGTACCAATGTCCGCGTCGATCTAGCCTGTCAGGTGCTAAATAATGACACTAATCCGCATAACGACGTTAAGTATAGGCTTTAAATTATCGAGATAGGCTTTAAGAGCTGGCAGAATGTTCAACGCACAGCCATACGTTGCCCGTTGAAAATTGCGCGCTGTAAAACCTCGGAATTATATCCCTTTGCTTATCTACGCGCTCTCTACGGTCTGTGAAGTTATATCGTCCGTAACGAAGGTGCGTGACAATTTTTACGGCTAATCGATCGTCGACCACGTTTCCAGTGTACAATTTCCACCGCAAGCCGCAGAAATTTACGACCCTACGACACACTTCTTTAAATAGCCATTCCGTGGGATATTTACAAGTAAATATGCCACTTAACGTTTTCATTTCATTGAAAATGGCCTGACATACGTTTGCGCAACCGGCTAGAAATCGGATTTTGACAAAAATTACTAGATCCGTTACGAAAAAAAATCTTATTTTTCTTAGCGTGAGTTTATTTGTTTCTTGACAACAATTTCATTTTTACGTTTACTGCGGTGTTTGTTGTGCAGTCGCGATTTTCCATCAATTCTAGACTTGACGGCTGCGTCGCGTTCAAATCTTTCGCACCAATCTATCGCGCTCCGTAATGTCGTAAGACAAACACTGTCACAATTAACGAAGAAAGCCGCAAGGACTCTCGTCGGTTTAGGATGACGTAAACCTCCTTTGCGTTCGCTTCGAAAAAATCTGTTATCGCGCCACGAATTTTATGTATTTCTTACGCAAACGCGAGAAAGGTGGAGCAACAGGGGGACGAATCGTCGAGTCTCAATTTCTTTCTTCTTCGAGATATCGTTTACGTAAAGCATCTGATGAAATCGTTACAGCCGATTTACGGCCTATACCTCTCAACGAGGCATCAAACGCGTCGAGAAGCAGATCGTCGAAGGACACCACTATTCGATCGCAATTACGAAAAGCATAGGCTCTCGAGGTAATCGTTCGGATAAAGGTTACCTCGATTGTCGGCACGATCGGAGCGATACCGAGTTCGTTCGCCGCGATTTGTTCGTTCACGAGATTTCCGTATCAAAGGCAAGGTGAGCCGCTACCACGGCCGCTTTCCGTCGAACCTCTTTTCGCGCGGTTTTCTTTCGCCGGTGCAATGTCAAGGTGAATCGGCTAGTGGTTCGCCTTTAAAATCGAGCACCGTGCGTGCAGTTTCTCGGAACGGAACTTTGCTACAAAGTTGATCATGCGAAAACACTTAGGTCTGTTCCTCGGGCTTAATGTTCGGACAGGAATTCCGAGACCGGCGATTTTTGCAGTAACTGCTTTCGGATTGCCAGGATTCTGGGACTTTGATCGTGACGGTATCTTTTTACGATCAGTGATCTGTAGAGAATTAATAACGGGACAAATTAACGTTGCCAACAATTTATTATCTATTTTCTGTTAATATACGCCGTGAATTAGTTTCAACGCTCGACATTTCGACATATAATTCCAGGCGGTCGGATTATTATCTTACAAGCGTAATGCAATAACGTATTGCCGTTAACGAAGCATAATTAATGGACCGAAAGCCGCGCAATGATGCAACGGAGCAAACATTTATTCGGCGAAATACGGAATAACGATCGTATCGCCGAGAATAAATACAAGTGCAGATTACACATAGACATACAATTTTATACATTTATACATTTTAATGTACAATTTTATACGACAGAATGTAATCCTTTGCACACATTTCTTGCACACAACTCTTAACCTTATATATACATCCCAGGTAGCAAGCACTCGTCATTTTGACGTCAATATTTGGTCATAATTGGTCAGTAACGTCATTCGTCGATTAAGTGACGTATATTTAACGTCATGTTTTAATACGTCAAAAAGACTTTGTAAAATGACATTATATAGACGTTTAATTGACTACCCAGGTAGCAGACAGTCGTCATAATGACGTGATTTTTACGTCATTTTATGACGCATGTTACGTCATTTATTCCTAAAGTTTGACGTAAAAATGACATATTTTTCACAGTATTTTTCACAGGAATATTCCTACATTTATAAAGTGTTTCGTAACTTTATGATTGACGTTGTGAATTTATGGTATAAGTGGATCTAGTTGCGTGTGTAATTATAGTTTTATGACAACTATTTCATGCAGTGTTATAACTATTAAGAAGATATCATTACAAGATTTTTGACCACTTTAAAGATGTACCTGTTATAGACAAGTACAGTTAATAAGGAAGCATCAGGGTGAGAAGATCGTCACTGTCCACTGGATCATCGAAGTCAAGCGACTCGGACGCGGTACTGTACTAAGATGGGTGACCGCCTTGAGAGCGGCTATACGCACATGGCATGTAACGAAACAATTAAAAAGCTTTTTTTTTTTTAGATAAAGAAAAAGAACATTTTTTTATAAACGTTTATCAAGTAGACATTTTAAAATTTTAATTTCATAAAAAACATTTCTAGAAACCGGTATGTCGTACATTGGACCTATTTTTGCCGTCAATAAAACGTCAGAAAATGACGTCGTTGGAATGTGACTTAGGACCGTGAAAAATACGTCATTTTTACGTTAAACTTTAGGAATAAATGACGTAACATACGTCATAAAATGACGTAAGAATCACGTCATTATGACGACTGTCTGCTACCTGGGATATATATATTATTGCACTTTTATAGAAATAAATTTAAATTTCCTAAAATTATAAGGTACATTAATTTCTCTTTGTCATTAAATCACCTCTCCTTTATCTCTACCTATCAGCATCATATATATGTCAAAAAAGATTGATTCAAATATTTAGAATATGAAATAGGTTTATATTTAAGTGATTATTATAATCAAAAAAAGAAAAATTTTGGGTCGGATAGTATACGGTAGTTATCAAACCGGATTATAAGCCGCCGTGAAAACGTAGTCAATTTTGCAGAACTGTTAAGTTTGTGTAGCATCTAATCGAAAGTGGCGCGCGTAGCACGCTATTATCTCATGTCTCGCGTCCAATCAGGCGCGCGACATGTAACATATCCGACGCCGCGTACATCTATTATATCTATCGACGGCGCGTTCAAAATGGTACGTGTTAGCCAATGACTATAGTGGCACGTCACGAACACCTTGAATTCATCGTTGAATCCAAGGAGTGCTTTGTTCTGGAAATTAATTCTTATTTACAAACAACGTTTGTTAATAACGCTTTTCCAGAATGCCCCGATCTCCAAGGTGATTTGACTTAGTATGTTCTTTGTAGTCATAGAAGACGGCAACAAAAACCTGATATCATAGTCTTGCTTAGAATTACAAATTTTTTCACACAGGTGAGATAAACTAATTAATTAAATACAATTAATAAAAGATAAATTTTAATTTGCGTATTTCCAATTGCGTATTTCTTTTCTAATGCATATGGAATATGTTACAGCAAAGATGGACGGCTCGGAAAATGAGAGACCAAATGACAACTCAAAAATATTGGCCATAAATCAGGTATTTATACATATATTGAGATATATATTATATATATATATATATATATATATTTTTTTTTTTTTCTTTATCTCTCTCTCTTTTAATTGTTTTTTTATATCTCTTTCTTTCTTCGTCAAATCGTCTTTGATATTCTGTTTTCAAATCTTTTATCCTTATACCATTATTTCTCGTTTCTTCTCCCAGTTGTCCAATTCCGCCACAATTATACTTTTTTCCCGTCTTTTCTTAACACTTGTACCCTTTTTACCTCTATCAATACCTTTAGATTCTCCTGTATAAATTAGTTTACCTCTTTGACTCACAATCAGTCCTCTGTCTTTATTTCCACTTCTTTTATGATAATACTCTTTTTCTTTTCTTCTCTCTTTTTTCTTTCATTGCGCTTTTTATTCTTTTTTCTACTTTTTTCTGGTTTTTCTCTTCACTTGCTATGTCTTTTCTTTCTTAGAAATTAGAAAAAACAGAGATTGATGTCTTACAATTAAAAAAAGAACTGGAAGTATTTTGTAAAATTGGGGAGCTTCAATTAAAGTGCTTCTATTTAAAATTATCCATTACGGAGGCAGCTTATTCTAAGAAGGTGAGGAGAAATTGTCCGCGTTCCTTAAAAAGATAAAAAAAGTCCTTGATATAGCCAATTTTCATAATATTTAATTAAAATTTAAGAAAGATTTGTTACAAAATGGTCACTATACTCGATTACTACGCTGTCGGCTGTGATTTATAATACCTGTGTTTTTCTACATTTATTTTTAGTT